ACAGAAAAATAAAATATTTGTGGAAGTACCTAATTGCACTACTACAGCAGTGAAGTCCACCAGATCTTATCATCCGCACATAACCCATAGCATTGCCTTTAAAAACAAGAAAAAGCAGTTAGTTAAGTAGTATTATTTAAATATGGACACACACACACTTCAAAACTCTCACAGGCTCCAAAACATAACGTTGCCATAACCTTCTTGACAAAGAACTCGTTCTGAGACAGCAACACACAGACAAGGGGAGCGTGGGGTGGGCGAGAAGCTAGACCCGAATGTCAGGAGCCCATTTGGAGCAGCAAGGCACGAGGCAGACACACGCAGCTGGGCTGTGCTCGCTTCCCCGAGAGCACCAGGGTGAAGCTGGGCAAACTCTCCCCATGCAGCACAAGAAACATCTGCAAATTCAGGTCGATCCTACGTGCTTACAGTAGGAATGCAAAAAATATCACCGTAGTGTCATGCGTAGTTCATATGAGCTCAGTAACTTCAGATGGATATACAGCATCTTTTGAAGCATCTGAACTTAGGGATACTATTTCTTTACAGGGAAACATACTCAACCTGGTCAAAAGTCTCCTCCATAAAATAAAGAAAAGCACAATCTAAAAAGTAACACCTATGCAAGCTGTAGACACAGTTTACGTTACGCCATGCAAAGCTCCCATGTGCACACTAGACCAGAGTATTGATTTCACAGGAGGTTCAAGTGAAGTACCCTCCATTTAACTACTTTTAGCCTAAGCTGAAGGCCCATTTATAATAATGAAGACTGTTCCACAAACCCTTTTAACGTTATCTTATGCAGGTTTTCATACCGATTTGACTTATGAGTTGTCTGAATTGGTCAAGGTAACTTTGGCCATCTGGGGTCATTCCAAGTTTTCTGATGCCTCGGTTGAATTTATCTGCTCTTTCAAAGGGATACTAGAGAAATTATTTTAGAAAAATGTGTATGAGTAATCACTTATCTATCAATATATATACATATATACATTTCATGTCAACACAGTTCTATTTGTCACACATCTCTACCTCATACCTACAGTTTCATTTTGAGCACAGGCCTGCCTGTCTGCATTTATTTGCAAGTGTTTCATTAAGTCACCTGTGCAAGGTGCAAAGTGAAACAGAAGTGTTATTTTTGCCTCAATAAGAATGATTCCTTGCAGAAATAAGCATTCGACAATCAAAAACACTGCTAGAGTATTTTATAATACACTAATTCTTTAGAAATTAATTTTCCTTCACTGGAAACTAGACCCAAATCTCCAAATCCTCACACAGTTGATGCTACATGTTCTTTTTGGATTCTATCCAAATAATCTTACTATTCAAAACAGACAACTGTTGAACACTAGATCAACTGCATCAAATCTTTTTTTGCAGATCTTTGACAGGATGATTTTATCCAATCAACATCAATAAAAAATAACGAAACGAAACCATTCTGAAAACAGGAATAAAAAGAAAATGCTGTCACTCTGTTTGGATGCAAAGAAGAAGAAAGTTGTGACATCTTATGGGTTAGTACAACTTCAGCTTCCCTTCCATGAAAGTAGCACACATTTCAGCTGAGATATTCTCAATCCTTCAAGGTTTACTATACCTTGTGATCATTTTGATCCTTGACTTCCCTGAAGAATCTGATGTCTTTGATAAGCCTGGATTTGATATGCTCATCATACATGAACTGGCTAAAAATATAAAACTTTTTCCTCAAGAACTGGTAAGTGAAGTTTACCTAAAATAAAGTCAAAAGCCAAACTGAGAAAGTTAATAAAATAACATACATCCCTAGCAACTCCTGTTTAGGAGCTTCCTGAATAACTTGCATTTATGATAACATAATTTTCAAAAACAGAAACTTTGCCATTATTTGTTTTGAATGTTATTCCTTCCCTTGGTCTTTTTCCTTTCACTAGTTAATAATTAAGTAAATAAATAAGTAAATAAATAAATAAATAATCGATCTTCTTGTGAAAGGCTTGCTCTCTCTCAGGAAGGGCAGAAGGCACGTGGCATAAATTGGTCATTTTGTCACTGTTCCTTTGAAAGAAAACGTTTCAAGTTGAAAAGGGCAAACAAGTTCAACTTCCTCAGGCAAACCGTGGCGTCTGCATAACCTCTTGATCCAGCTTTTCACTTTCGTAAAAACTTCTTGGAAATATTCTTCCATAAGACAAAGCCTATTTTCCCCCTACACATTAATTTTCATGTCTACCCAAACAACCTCAGTCAGAAGTAAACAAAGTTGCAACGTCTACTTCGGGAAATAATGCAAAAAGCAGGGCAATTTTTTCAGTAACTCAAGTCACTGAAGTAAGTATTCGGGTATCAAAACGAACAAAAAAAAAGCACTCTCAAAATAACAGTGTGACATGAGGCAGCATGAAAATCATTTTTTCTAATAATTTCCACTTTCAAAGTAATGACCTGAGAGTCAGCTCAACATTCACCAAGTTCCTTGCTTTTTTTCTTGCAGGGAACAGAAGAGTGGGAGAAATAAAGTAGCAACGAGATAAAGACATAAGTAACAGATTTGAAAGCATCTGAGAAAACAGTAAGTTGAACTTCAACCCTTT